CTTAAAAAAACAAAAATAAGATACACCTTGGCAGTTTAAAGAACAGGAACTCTGTTGAAAAAAATTAAGCCAGAAGACTTTCTTTAAAAAAGCAAATACCTGAAATATATGCATTATTACTCTGATAAATTTATTTTTATTTATCTATTTTTAAAAAAGATGGCCGGTAAGGGGATCTTAATCCTTGACTTAATGTTGTCAGCACCACGTTCTCCCAAGTGAGCCAACCGGCCATCCCTATATAGGCATCCGAACCCACGGCCTTGGTGTTATCAGCACCGCACTCTCCCGAGTGAGCCACAGGCTGGCCCTTACTCTGATAAATTTAATAGTGAGAGGCTGGATCTGTTAACATCTTGCCTTTTTCCTTTTGAAGTAACTATATTCAAAAGATATATTCAGTTCTCCCAGTAACTATATTCCAAAGACAGATATATTCAGCTCTCCAATGGAGAATACTTTCTCTCTAAGGCAGGTTGATTTGCATTTTGAAAAATAGGCTTCCTGTAAACAATTCTGTTGTCTGACAAATGTCTTTTAAAGTAGTACTCCCTGAAAGAGCAAGACTAATAATAAGCAGTTGAGTTTTAAACAAATGGAAAAGTGAACAAAAACCAGAGACAGGCTTTGTCCCATAGAGAAAGGGCCTGCACCCTCGTCCTTGTTTCATCATTGACTAGATACAGTGCTCTCCCTGAAGACCATTGTCACTGTCCTTGGCTTAGGGATGGTTAATGGAAGATACAGAAGGCTACATAATCCAGGTGAGAGGGGAGGGTGGCTTCAGGCAGGGTGATGGCAGAGTGAAGGTAGTCATCCTCGTTAAACTACCCAAAAGACATGCTTCTTATGCTGGTACGTGGTTTTTATGTAAGCACTGAGTTACAGACTGCTATTCTTAGCCGCTTCAAATTTTTCTTAGAAATAAGGTAGATATACATTAAATGACTTTGGGTATGTCATTTAATCTCTAATCTGTATGTCCTCATCTATAAAATGGGGGTAATATCACACCTGAGTGCTAATCTCTCAAGATTGTTGTGAAAAAATAATGAAATAATACTATATAAGAGCAGTCTTTTTTTTTGGCTGCTGGCCAGTATAGGGATCAAACCCTGGAGCTCAGTATTATCAGCACCATGTTCCAGCACCAACAGAGCTCCTGGCCAGCCTGGTTTATATTTTCATAAATAATCGCCCTAATTGTGGGGGGTGGGTGGGTGAGATTTACCGATCCGTTGCCGGACACGAAAAAAAAAGACAAAAAGGAAAAAAAAAAAAAAGAAGAGAATGATGTAACATGATAGTCCCCTTTCTTCCCTGAAAACGAAGAAACTCAAAAATCATGTTTAAAAAGCACAGAAAGTATATATTGTAATGACATGGTAGTGGTGGGGTGCTGTTAGCCCTTTATATGCAATATCTTACTGACATGCCAAAACTCAATCATTCAGTTGTACTGAATGCTTATTACTATGAAAGGCAACATTCTAGGTGGCTGGGGAAATGTCAGTAATCAAAACAAATGGAAAGTCCCTACCTCCAAGGAAGTTCCATGGGGAAGGGGGTTGGAGGGAAGGAGGATTGAGAAAACAAAAAATATAAATAAATTACACTGTATGTTGGATGGAGGTAAACAAGTACTGTGGATGAAAATAGAGCAGGAAGGAGGGATGGGGCATAGGGGGAGGGTTTTATTTTAAATAGCATGGTCACTGCAAAGCCTTCCTGCAAAGGTGACAGTTGGGAGCCAGCCATGCAGATAATGTCCAGTATAAAAACCCCGAGGTTGAAAAAGTGCCTGGCGCCTTTTAAAGGAACAACAAACAGGCTGGAGGGGCAGCCGAGGGGAACAGGAGATGAAGTAATGGGAGGGGTGGTGACTGTGTAGAGCCTGGCAGGCTACAGGTCTGCTGAGAACAGACTGAGGATGGAGAGCAGCACTTTTAAAGGAACAACAAACAGGCTGGAGGGGCAGCCGAGGGGAACAGGAGATGAAGTAATGGGAGGGGTGGCGACTGTGTAGAGCCTGGCAGGCTACAGGTCTGCTGAGAACAGACTGAGGATGGAGAGCAGCAAGTCCTCAGGCCACAGCAGCAAAGAAGCTAACACGATAATACAGGGGAGACTCTGTGGCTTCCATCAGGATCGCAGTGGAGGAAGGAGTGAAAAGGGGTCAGATTCTATATATATTTTGAAGACAGAGTTGATAGGATTGCTGTGGGGTTGAGAGAAATAAGATCCAAGGATGACTCCCAGGCTTTAGATCTGTATAGCCCAAAGGATGGAGGTGCCTTTGCCTGAGACAGGGAAGATTCTAGGAGCAGCAAGTTCTTGGGAGCTCAGTTTTGCATTTTAAGCCTTGGATGGCCAATAAATACCCCAGCTGTCAAACAGGAAGCTGGATGGAGAGTGTGAGGCTCAGAGGGAAGATGATGTCAGCTTGCAGATGGTATTTAAAGCCACGAGGCCAAAAAATAAACAAACAAAGCCACGAGGCCAAATGTGACCACTGAAGGAGTGGCTATAGCTAGAGGATGGAGCCAGGGTATGAGCCCGAGACCCTCCAACAGCCAGAGGTGGGAAGGCTGCAAACACAGCCAAACACACAGAAGCAGTGGCCAGGGAGGCAGGAGAATGTGGCCCACACATGTTTGAGCTGGGAACTACTGCTGTCGCCACGTGAAAGAAGCAGAAGCAGCCTTGTTTCTATGGCTTTTCTGTTGCTTTTTATTCTTAGCCGCTTCAAATTTTTCTTAGAAATAAGGTAGATATACATTAAATGACTTTGGGTATGTCATTTAATCTCTAATCTGTATGTCCTCATCTATAAAATGGGGGTAATATCACACCTGAGTGCTAATCTCTCAAGATTGTTGTGAAAAAATAATGAAATAATACTATATAAGAGCAGTCTTTTTTTTTGGCTGCTGGCCAGTATAGGGATCAAACCCTGGAGCTCAGTATTATCAGCACCATGTTCCAGCACCAACAGAGCTCCTGGCCAGCCTGGTTTATATTTTCATAAATAATCGCCCTAATTGTGGGGGGTGGGTGGGTGAGATTTACTGGAGATAAGAGAGACAAAGAAATAGTGGAGATGTCGAATATACATCCCTTAAAACTTAAAATAGACAAACATTCCCACTTATCTATGGCCCTGTTGACACCCACGACTCCTGGGTAACAGTTTCTCAGTTACAGTAAATCTAAATTCACTAGTCATGAGTTATCTGGCAAGCATGTGAGAGGAAGTTCACTCTGAATGCTAGTAAGTGGGCACATTACCTATGTTGGTTTCATTATGTCCAAAGCACAGTATGTTCCCTAGAAAAGAGGTGTCATTGGAGACACTGGCATGTGAAAAGGCAAAGCAGGCAGGGGGTGTGCTCCAGCCACATCCTGAGGACTTGTGTCTGTGCTGAGATCAAAGCGTGCCTCTGCCTTCTAGGTCTCCACTCCCCTTCTCAAGGTCTACCGTGGACACTGACCTCCCTGCCCCTCACTGGGTTTCTTAGCCTCTTGTCTTCAGCAGCTGGTCTTGCTGCCCAGGGCTGCTCAGTAAGCACAGGCGCACCCTACACACAGGGTGGGCATGGAGGCCCAAGTGACTCACGTGCAGGTATCTGAAAATAAATTGAGCACCTTCCAACTCATCCTACCTTATCCAAAATGTGACTGAGCTCTGTCCAAAGTGCTAAGTGTTGTGGTTATGAGGACAGAGAATTTCCCTTTTATTGCTTCTTTTTCCAAGGTTTCCCAACTAAATCCCTACACTGATTAACAGCACTGTCTGTCTTGAACACACCCTTTTCCAAGGATAAGTTTCAAAGATCTGAATATGACGCTCAGTTAAATTCACCTATTACTTATTGAGCAACTTTTTAAAAGTACAAGGCCCTAAGCTAAAAATCAGATATGGTCAAATGCTCTTCTGAATTTCTGATTTTGCCTTAAGCACGGCGACTGATAACCCCAATTCAACCTATGAATATTTAGCTACTTTTAAAGCAAATGAGATATTTTTCCTGCAGTAAAAACAACAAAATGGGCAGGTAGCCAAGCCATAAAACAAAAATTAAAAAACCTATTTTATTAAATATATTGTAACTTTTCTATAAAAACATTTTGTTGCTATATTACTTCCTCTTAAAATATTTACAACCCTTCTCTTGTGCAATTTAAAGTATTTTACTCTACCACCCCTTATCTTCTTAGCCCTCAAAAGATTTGAGCAAGAAGACAATTTGATGCAACAATTTAAACATGGATTTTTGGTTTGCTTTGGAAAGTTTACTGTGACTGTCCCTGGATGATAATCACACGCACACCAGGACCACTGCTGCCAACAAATCAAGGTCAGAGTTCAAAGGTATTGGTAAAGAAACCTAATTCTTAGGTCTGCACCAAGATTATGCAAACAGAACATTCCATTTGTTGGGCTTCGTGAACATTCTGTATTGACAGTGGGGGTGGAGGGCGTGCTGGTGGCAGAAGGAGCGGACTGAATGGGGACAGAACTTACTTCAGAACCTGTAAGAGCCCAGGTGTCACGGACGTTGGTCTCACCATTCCAGCTCCACTGATGGTCCCCAGATGAACCTGAGGATAGTAGACTGTACGGAGAGCTAATCTCGAAGACTGCAACCTCGTCTTAATGACTTCTAGTGGACAAGTGAAAATAGCACCCACTGTGCCCCCACACCTGTAAGAAAGGAAATCACAGCAAGAGCAGAAAAGCTGTTATTCTCTATACAAATGGAACAGGAAATTTAACTTCTCTCTTTAAAGGAAGGTACACATGTTCATTTAATAAAAATTAGAACATAAGGATGGTGAAAAAGAATTAGTTGAAATCCCAGAGCTAAAGAGATAACCATTGTTGCCATGTGAGCACATCCTCTGGGGGCACTCCCCCACCCCCACTTATCTAGATATTGGGAATGTCCTTCCATGTCAACATATACACCTATGTCATCACTTGTAATGGTTTCATACTTTCCCTCTGTATCAGTGGATAATATTTTATCCTACTGTCGGGCATTTATGTCATTTCCAATTTTATTACCATGCTGCGATAAATATTCTAAAAAATGCATCTTTGTACATTCAAACAAAAGTTATTTAGGTAATGTTACGTTCGAAAATCAATGTTTACTACAATAAGGACCTTCATTAAAATCTGGTTAATTTGATCACCACTGAAAATTCTAAAGTTTACTTTCAAAAATGAAGTCGTGGTGGGCCGGCCCGGTGGCGCACTGCTACAGTGCGCCGCTTGGGAGTGCGGTGGTGCTCCCGCCGAGGGTTCGGATCCCACATACAGACCGGCTGCTCGCTGGCTGAGCGAGGCGCAGGCGCAACACCGAGGGTTGCGATCCGTTGCCGGTCACGAAAAAAGACAAAAAGGAAAAAAAAAAAGAAAATGAAGTCGTGGGTTTGCTTCATTCACAACTAATCAATTCATCCTCTGTGTTTTCATTGGTCAAACTGACTCTCCTGGTCAGGAGAGTGTCGTGGGTTTGCTTCATTCCCAACTAATCAATTCATCCTCTGTGTTTTCATTGGTCAAACTGACTCTCCTGGTCAGGAGAGTTAATCATTTGAGTTCCTCCCTTTACAATGTGTTCATATTGAGATATTACCTTGGGCCGGCCCGTGGCTCACTCGGGAGAGTGCGGTGCTGATAACACCAAGGCCACAGGTTCGGATCCCACATAGGGATGGCCGGTTTGCTCACTGGTGAGCGTGGTGCTGACAACACCAAGTCAAGGGTTAAGATCCCCTTACCGGTCATCTTTAAAAAAAAAAAAGAGAGATATTACCTGAATTACTATTTAAATATATTCCTTCAAGACAACTCACTTATTTATCTGAAAATACCTACTTCCATCTTCTCTTAAACAATACTATCCACGAAATGACATGTTTGGTGGACTAGTTATAATTAACAATGTCATGTACCACCTAAAACCATCACCACACCAGCACTGCACAGGCTTGCCTCTGGAAGACACTAATCTACGATACGATGAGTTCCTCGAGATCAGGACCCGGGGTCTTACTGCTCCTCTTTGCATCAGAACTCAGAAAGCTCACAAACAATATTTGCTAAGAATTATTCAATTGAGATTCAAAGGAGAATGGCTTTGAAGGCATCTGAATATTTGAAAAATGCACTTCCCATCTACCTTTTACCACCTGCTGTCTCTCACTAGATTGGGGCGGGGCTGTGAATTCATACACTCTTGTACTTAGCTAGAACGTAGCACCTGGCACAAAACAGGTGGTTAAATAATGACACTGCACCAGCATCTGTGACTGGGAAAAGTAATATCAGAAAGGAAGGACAGGCCCTGGCATATCCCTTCTCTGAGAGATGCAAGCATTGGAAATCTGGCAGCAAACCCAACCCCTAAAACCAACCTCGAGGTAATGAATGAAGTAAAATCCTCATGCAGGATTTTTTTTTTCCTTTTTGTCTTTTTTCGTGACCGGTAACGGGATCACAACCCTCGGTGTCGCGCCCGCACCACGCCCAACCAGTGAGCGGACCGGTCTCTATACGGGATCTGAACCCTCGCGGGAGCGCCACCGCGCTACCGAGTGTGCCACCGGGCCGGCCCTCACGCAGGATTTTAAAGTCAGGACCCCTGTACTTCTATAAAGCAAGTAACATATCAATAACTGACAGACAGAAGCTATCTGTTTAAATATGAGAACTACTGCCACCGATTGCATGATTATTTTATGACAAACACTCGTTTCTCCAACAATCCCATGAGTTAGGAACTACCAGTTAGCCCTAACTTACAATGAGGAACCTGAATGTCAGAAAAAGACACAAATACACAGATGGGTGGTGGGGAGGAAAATAGCCATTTTGGCTATTTAGGTGAAACTACTGTAAAGTCATGATAATAACATACCCTAAATTGAGCTGTTTATCTTCCAGTGTTTTCAAAATGGGCCCAAAGCCCATTAATTATAAAAGCAATTTAGGGGGTTACAATCAGAATTGGGACAGAGGAAGGACAGGAAGGAACTGAGATGGTCCTTACTTTATAGATGGGAAACCTGGGTCTCAGTGAGGTTACATACTTTTTCAAAGTCTCCAAGTGACTAAGTGTCTAAACCAAATCCAAGCTCTCTGTCTCCAAAGCCCATGTTCTCTCCACTACACTGAGGTATCCTCTTTTGGAGTATTATGGAAAGATAGTTATTGTACACAGTTTTGTTAGCTAATTTAGTCAACTCACATTCACACTCAAAAATAGAAAATTGTTATTAGATAACTAAGCCTTTAAAACTCTAATTTTTTTTTTTTTTAAGTCAAGAAAAAATTATCTCCCATACTGGCCAGCCATCAAAAAAGAAAAATTGTGTAGGGCTGGCTGGTTAGCTCAGTTTGTTAGAGTGTGGTGGTGTAACAGCAAGGTCAAAGGTTCGGATCCCCATACCAGACAACTGCCAAAACAAAGAAAAAAAAAAATTGTCAGTCAGTCTAACTTAATTTGGGGCTGTATAACTTGTTCTAAGCACTAGAATATATCTAAAGAAAACGGGATATAAATGGGAAGTGTTTAAAAAAAAAAAAAAGAGGTAAAAAACCCCCAACAAAAAACACTTTCTAACCCATGTCTATTTACACAAAAATATCTACCATATGTTTAAGTAGTATAACATTTAAAAATACTGGAAAAGTTATCTGCTACAGAGTAAGATCTGGGCAAATCCTTACATCTGAAGGTCTGCAAGTTCAAATACGATGCAGGTCAGCTACTTTTGCTTGAAGTCAGTTGCACTCATGACTTTGGCCAAACTTCATCCAAGTCTATGCCACTGATCAGAGGAAGACCAGCAGGGAGGAGTGTTTGCCCACCTATGCAAATACTCCCCTGACAGCAAGGTGGTGACCTCTTTGAGGGTGGCAGGCCACACTCACCACCACTTCACTTAACATTTTGTACACCATGACTACGGCAGGACCGGGTGGTGGTGGTGAAAAGGCCTGGGCTTCGAAACCACTTCCCAGCTGGACGAACCAGGGCAGTCTAAGGCTCAGGTGTCTCACCTACAAGACAAGGAAGACACCAGCCTCACAGCAAACCACCCAGAACGGGAAACACCACAAGCTGAACACTGCAGTGTCATTATCAAAATTAACCACTCAGGAGGTAAACCCCTCCTTACCTACTAGAAAAATTGCCTTAAATGCGAAATGTCCAAGTCATTAAGCTATATCGGACACAGTCACTAAATACTTTTAATTAGAAGAAAACAAGTCCTGATACCAAACTAAAATTTCCAAAGATTCTTCCTGAAATTGAAAAGTACTGCTATGAAATGTTTTAAAGTATCTTTCAGCTCAACTTCTCTTTCTTTCTTCATGAACCAATAAGTGCAAGATATTCACCAGTCGGAGAGGATAATATGAGCACGAAACACTGACTTATCTAGGTTGGCTTTACAAATGTTTTCTAAAAATATTTAATCATGTTAGGCCCAAAACACTTAAGATTTAAATTAGGGCCGGCCCGTGGCTCACTTGGTAGAGTGCGGTGCTGATAACACCAAGGCCGCGGGTTCGGATCCCATATAGGGATGGCCAGTTGGCTCACTGGCTGAGCGTGGTGCTGACCACACCAAGTCAAGGGTTAAGATCCCCTTACCGGTCATCTTTAAAAAAAAAAAAAAAAAAAAAAAAAAAAAAAAGATTTAAATTATATTTTTTGTAGGAAAAAAGTCCCGTCACTTCTCAATTCTTTGATGCTAAGAGCCCCTCTGATCTTAGCCCCACAGCTCACCCTGGCAAGTGCACTCTGCGGAAGCCCCATCCAACTGTGGCTCTGAGGACTTCCCAGGAGTCTCGGCCCAGCAAGGGCACAGACGTGAGTTCTGTCGCCGGCCCCCACCCCTCACTGCTTTTAAGCTGTGCTCTACTGAATCCCTCTTTCAATGACATCATGGGCAGATTCCATAACTTTCCAGTTTTTCATATCCAGTCCCATTGAAAACTTCAATCTCAAATCTTAATTCAAAATTTCCCTCCACCACTGCTGGCTGGACTTGTGACTTGAGGGGACTTGGTCTGCTCCTTCACATTTTCTTTCCTTAGTTCTAGGATTCTCTGAGCTCGGGGACAAGGAGGAGAGAGGTGGTCTTTTGTAACTGGTCCTTATCTTGTGAGTCCACCTGACTGTGTGCATACTGGTGGCTTCAGTAAATGGTCTGACTTCCATGTAGATGGTGTTCAACCTCGCCATGGGTCGCAACACCAGGAATCCCCCCACTGGTCCCACCAGCAGTCCATCCCACTGTCTCCTTTCTGTCTTACCTGGCCTGGGGACCTTGTGAGAAGCACTGGGTGCCTTCCCTTCCTCTGGTCCCCATGCTTCTTGACATCAAGCCAATGCGGCCCTCCAGAGTGTCCTTACATGTCCTCCAGGAGCCAACAAGATTGGCTTGAGGTAGGAAGTCACCCATGTCATTCCCAAGCATACCCCACCAGTCTCTTCTCATCCTGCTGGCTTGGGCTGGAACAGTAGCTTCCTGCTTGCAGGAAGCATCTGGCCACAGAGCAAGCTACTAGCCTCTCAGCAGTATTTTAGACCATTAATCTCCAAAGTGGGGCTCATACTCTAAGAGATGTGCAGGATGATCCATTGGAGTGCAGAAAGAAGATATTACAGCAAGAAATAAAATTTTGTTTTATTATGTCTACCATTTAAGTTCTATTTTTATATGTGTAAAATGTTTTGTATGTATAAAATTAATAGGGTAACATAATCATACATAGGGATATGCACGAACATTTACTCACAGGACTGTGATTCATGTCTGAAGACCACTATTCTAGACCAATGCTTCTCAACTGGGACAATTATGCCCCAACCCTCGTGATATCTGGAAATGTCTGAAGACATTTTTGGTTATTCAAAGTGTGGGGTGGGGTTACTAGCATTTAGTGGGTAGAGGCCAGAGATGCTACTAAACATTCTGTAATGCACTGGGCTGTCCTCCCTCCGGACAAATAGTTATCTGGCCAAAGCTGAGAAACCCCGATCCAGACCAAGAAAATGAGCAATATATTTGAAGGCAGTATAATCACTGTGGTGGGCACCACTGGCTGCCCCTGCAGTGTTCATTCCTCTCTTCCTGTGTCTTAACAAGATCCCAAATTTCCTAAGCCATACAGTTTGCACAAGATTGCACCTATTTCTAGTTTTATCCACATAACGACATCCACTTTGCCATGTTATCTGCTCAGACATGGGCACATGATTCAGCCTCAGCATCATTCCCCTGGGAACGACGACTGGGTTAGAGGGTATGTGTCCAAGTTGGTCCAATCAGAGTTAGACTGAAGGCTTGTTCAGTGGTGGGAGAAACTGTTGGAAGCCATTCTGTGGCCATGGAGGGACCAGCCTTAGAATCCAGCAGATGGTACTGGAAGGCAGAGCGTTATAGATGGGACCCACAGTGACACTGTTGAGCTGTTCAGATAACACCTCACCTGAAGCCTGTTCTCCTTCTAGAATTCAGGTGTACCAATTAAGCCAATTTGAGTGAATCTCCTATTACTTACAACTGAAAGCCTCCCAAATGAGCCTCGCCAAAAAAATTTATACCTCAACTTTTCAAGAAAATACTTTTACAATTACGAATAAACTTCCAAAGAGTGGTTAGGACTCATGTTTGTTGTAGGCTATTGTATCAGTCCATCTCTGTTGTTTATAACAAAATACTTGGAACTGGGTACTTTGAAAATGAAACTTATCTCTTACAGTTTCAGAGGCTGGGAAGTCCAAAGTCCAAGGAACACATCTGGTGAGAGTCTTCTTTGGTGGTGGCTTTTCAGCAACACAGGGGTCTCACATGGCGGAGCAGAGTGAGACTCTCATGGGCTCTCCTTTTAAAGCCGTCAGACCCACACCCCTGACCACCAATAAACCATCAACGTAATCACCTCTTCAAGGCCCCACCTTTCAATTACTGTAATAGGGTTTCCCACCCTCAGTGGTTACATCGATGATTAAGTTTTGGGAGGACATTCAACTCAAGGCAGCTATGTTTATAACAGCTACAAGGAAACTTCCTGGATATTAATTTAATTTTGCTAAGGTAATACTGCTCTAGTCACTGATGCCAAAGTCCAAAGAAAATTCTCTGGGATAGTCAAGGAAACTTCCTGGATATTAATTTAATTTTGCTGCTAAGGTAATACTGCTCTAGTCACTGATGCCAAAGTCCAAAGAAAATTCTCTGGGATAGTCCATTCAGAGCACACGTCTGACAGATTTGAATACAGTAGCAGAAAGGCAATGAATAGTGGTTAGATTACAAGTCCAAGAACAGTCATAGAGACAGTTGCTCTTTGAAGTCTATTTGCCTTCGTTTCTAAAAAAAAAAAAAAAAAAAAAAAAAAAAAAATGCACCTTTTCTCCTTTTTTTAAAACCACTTGTTCCCTTTTCTATACAAATATATGGAAATATGAATTAACAAGAAAATATGACTCCATGAAAGGAATACAATAACAAGGATTAGACATCTCTCCTCCTCTGTTTGTAGCAGAACAAAGCTACAATATTACTACTATAATATATATACTGCATTCTTTTACTCTTTAAGTAATCAGACGGTTACATACAATTTTTACATTATGCACACTAAGTTTTACTTTTTAACTCTGAGTTTCAAATAACAAGGACAATTTTTAAAAACTAGATGTTTCCTCAAGAACCTCTTGTTTCCTACGCATACCCTCACATTAAGCATTAAAACCAAGGCCAAGAGATCTTTGTCACTACCCAATTGCTGGTACACTGGTTTCCACACTCACAGCTTATATATATGTACAAAACGGGTTCCACCAACAAATGATACTGCCAGATACCCTGAACTGAATCCTCCTAATCTTTGGAGTTTTGGGTAAGTTCTCTTTTTCATCTGCTACCTCTGTAGTCACTACTTGAAAAACATTAATTGCTTTTCTATATATGCTATAATTTCTGGAAAGTTTTATTTGAATACCTGGCATAAGGCATACAAGATTTTATATCCACTCGGTTAAAGCAAAATTGTTTGTGATGTAGCTAATTCTCCTTTAGACGCTGTTTCCTGTATTCTCTCTTATTTGGGAAGAAAATTTAAAGTAACACCCCAAATGAATAAAAACTCTAGCACTTTCCGAACCTGAAGAGAATCATATTTTTCACAAACAGACAAATCCAAACTAACATTACCTTATGTCAATACAGTTTCAGCACATCCTAATGTGAAACCAAGTTTATAATTCACAAAGTACTGCTTCTCTTTATTTGGGACAACTTAACAGGCCACCCATCTTTCATTCACCTGGTCAATCACTTAAGTATTGAGGCTGCACCTGTAATGCTCCTGTCTCAGTACTTGGGATGTATCAGTGAAGAAAAACATGGTTCCTCATGAAGCTTAAAAACGAGTGGAAAAATTTCACCCAAATACCATACAATTTAAAAAATGTTTGTTACATATACAAAATACACTGGATGAAAGCAAAGCCAACTTACATTCACAGCGATATATTTATATCAGCCTTATACAAACTGTCAGGTACACACTACATGTCATATCAAAATTTCCTTAAGCATTTCAAATAAGCCTGGCAT